GTGCCCCAACTCCCCTATCGGTCCTACTCTGTGAGTGACAGGGGGGAGCTCCTCAACCCCGATTGGCCCTGCTCTGTGCATGACAGGGGGCGGCGCCCCAACTCCCCAATCGGCCCTGCTCTGAGCCTGACCAGGGGCTGCACCTAGGGATTGGGCCTGCCCTCTGCCACCCGGGAGCAGGCCTAAGCCAGCAGGTCGTTATCTCCCGAGGGGTCCCAGACTGCGAGAGGGCACAGGCCGGGCTGGGGGACCCCCTCAAATTTTTGTGCACCGGGTCTCTAGTTGCATAATAAGAAAGGACTCAATCCAACAAGATAATATAACCCTTGAAAACATTTATGTGCCCAACATAGTATCACCTAAATATATAAAGCAAATACTGATGGACATAAAGAGAAAAATCAACAGTAAGAGGGGACTTTAACACACCATTGATATCAATGGATAGATCTTCCAGACAGAAAATCAACAAGAGAACAGCTTTCAATGACACAGTAAACCAGATGAGTTAAACTGATAGCTTCATAGCATTTACCCCAAAGCAGCAGAATATACGTGACTGAATTCTGACATGACACTTCATGTGTGGGGCAGAATGGCTGCTATATGCCACGGGCCGTGTACAGAGCCAAGGCAGCTGGACACCATCATCCTGAACCATGTGCTCCCTGCGGCAGACCCCCTCCAGCCAGGACAGCCCTTCAGACAAGCCGGATGTCATCCACAGTCAGAGATGGGCTTTCTTACTATGCAGGAGGCAGTTCTTCGGGTTTTTTTTTTTAAATATATTTTATTGATTTTTTACAGAGAGGAAGGGAGAGAGATAGAGAGTTAGAAACATCGATGAGAGAGAAACATCGATCAGCCGCCTCCTGCACATCTCCTACTGGGGATGTGCCCGCAACCCAGGTACATGCCCTTGACCGGAATCGAACCTGGGACCTTTCAGTCCGCAGGCCGCCACTCTATCCACTGAGCCAAACCGGTTTCGGCAGTTCTTCGGTTTTAGATGGGCTTTCTTACTATGCAGGAGGCAGTTCTTCGGTTTCGTTCTTAAAGAAACTACCTACTCAATTTCCCTCCCCTGCACCTCCTATCCCAGAGCCTAGATCCTGGGCTGGATCAGTATTCCGCTAGGCCAGTGGTTCTCAACCTTCCTAATGCCGAGACCCTTTAATACAGTTCCTCATGTTGTGGTGACCCCCAACCATAAAATTATTTTCGTTGCTACTTCATAACTGTAATTTTGCTACTGTTATGAATTGTAATGTAAATATCTGATATGCAGGATGTATTTTCATTGTTACAAATTGAACATAATTATATCATAGTGATTAATCACAAAAACAATATGTAATTATATATGTTTTCTGATGGTCTTAGGCGCTCCCTGTGAAAGGGTCGTTCAACCCCCAAAGGGGTCACGACCCACAGGTTGAGAACCGCTGCGCTAGGCAGTCAAAGGTCATACTCAGTGTTAAAAAAAAAGAAAAGGTTGCTGAGTTTTACATTTTCATGGATGATGGGGGGGTGGGGGAGGAAGAGGATGAAACTCACCACAGGAAGTGCAGGCTGTTCCTCAAAAGTGTAGGCTTGTAAGCTGCCTCTTCTGCTGGAATGATTCTTATAAAAAGAAGAATGGTAATAATTTTAGATCTTGGATTTGTCTTAGAGAGGCTGATAACATCATGGGGGTGGGTATGAGGGGGTAGAAGAAAGAACGCTGGCTAGGAAGCGATGTGGAGACTGGGTGATAGCACCCAAGGCTCTCAGCACCACCCACGTGCTAATGCCTCAGCTTCTAGACACCTCTCCCCCACCCTAGACTGCCTCCTGGACACGTTCCCTTGAATGCCAGACACCCCTTCACTGTGCCCCAAACTGGATTCAGTTTTTCCCTGTTCACAGCCACTCAAACCCTCACCTCACTTCAGAGGGCAGCACGCGAGGCCAGCAGCTGCCCAAGTCAGATGTCAGTCAGACCCCAAACTCCTCCACTCCTGTCCCTCACAGCCAGGTCAGCCACCAGATCCTATTCATTCCGTTTCTTGACTAGCTCGCAAATACACTCCCTCTCCAGTTTAGCTCAAGTCTGTTGGTTTTAAAATGTCAAGTGTTCCTCATTTGTCACCTTGGTTATTACTGCAGCAACATCCTAATAGATTTTGCGACATCAAGTCTGATTTCCTTGAATCTACATCCCATAGGGCGTGCTGCAGCCAGAGACCGTTGTATAGCGTGAGCCAGCAACCTGGTTCTCTAGCTCGGAGCCCTGCAGTGATTTATACCCTTACTAGGATAAAATCCACAGCCCAGAACTCAGTGCTGAGTGAGCTTCCTGACCTGGCTCTTCTCTTCGGCTCCAGCACCTCCCACCTCACAAACAAGATTGCCTGTTTCCCGGAAATCCCCTATACTCTCTTTCCTTGTGTTTCCATACGCATGTTGTTGTCACTATCTAAAATATCTTAGTTTTGTTATTTAATGACATCAAAATTTATAATACACGTATAAATTAACTCAGAATAGCCACTGTACCATTGTTTACCATAAACAATCTAACATCTATCAACAGGAGATGGTATGATACCTTAAGGTTTATTTGCACATTAAATATGGCAGGGTTTGACAATTTTTGTTGTTGTTGGTTTTGAAAGGAATAAGTTTATATTTACTGAAATGGTCCAATGGTCTATGATATAGCAAGTGAAAAAACTAAGTTACCAAAAAGTGTGTATGAGATGATCTCAAGTTAAAAAAATTATATAGAAATATATGTGTGCTCACTCATGTTTATAAGTGTAGAGAAAATGTTCAGGACAATAATGGTATATGCCAAACCATTAATAGCAATTGAGGAAGCATGTGTTAGAGGTAATATGAAAGATTTAACTTTTGTTTCATATACCTCATTACTGTTTTAATTGTTCACCATGACCATACAACACTTTTAAAAGAATTGTTCTTCTGAATAAGCAACACATGCGTACGTATGATATAAAACTCAAAAGGTACCAAAGACACATGTCCTGCTCACTTGTTCCTCCCTTCAGAGCTGAGCAATGTTACCAGTTTCCTTTTTAGTCTTCAAGAAATCTCATACACATATTTATTCTCTGTCATTAAAGTAATTTACATAAAGCATAGTACATCAAGCACACTGTTCTGTACCTTGCTGGTTTTCACCGACTAATAGCTTAGAGATTGTTCCACACAATACATACACTCAAAGGCATCTCATTCTTTTCAGTGTCTGCATAGTATTTCGTTGTATGGATACCATACATTACTTTAAAAATAATAATAAAAAAATAACAGGAGAAAAGGGAATAGAATCTTGTGTGATTTATCACCAGTAAATCAAAATAGCTTATTCTTTAAGTCTTTGGCTGACCTTTCCCACACCCCTGACAAAAAGAAAAAGAAAATGGAAGACAGACTAGACATGTGGCAGAAAGGAGGGAAAGAGAGCAGCAGGCAGATGTGCTCTTGGATATTCATACGAGTATTCACAGAGAACTGTCTACTTTGAAGTTTGCTGAGGAAAGTGCTGAAACAGAAATCAGCAAACTTCTGTTATCTTTTTGTCTCTATTATAACTACTCAACTCTATCAATGTAGTGTAAAAGCAGCCATAGGCATCACTTAAACATATGGGTATGGCTATATTTCAATAATACTTGAGCATATTGTGCCTTGCATATTGTCGGCCCTCAATAAATATTTACTAACTAGAGGCCCGGTGCACAAAAATTTGTGCACTCGGGGGTCCCTCAGCCCGGCCTATGCCCTCTTGCAGTGTGGGACCCCCTCGGAGGATGTCCACCCCAGTGGGGACCCTCACCCCATGGAGGTTTGGTCAGCCTGGGTGAGGGGCTGATGGCTGTTTTCAGGCTGGCCACACCCCCTTTAGAGTGGGGGGTCCCCACTGGGGTGCCTGGCCAGTCTGGGTGAGGGGCTGAGGGCTGTTTTCAGGCTGGCCAAGCACCCTTGTGACGTAAGCTCCTAGTCTCTCCTTTTTTTCTTTTTTTTTTTATTCTGGAATTTATTTACCTTCTATAATTGAAACTTTGTTGCCTTTAGCGGAGGCCTGCGGAAAGCTTGGCTTCCTCCATCTCCAGGGGCAACCCATTCCTGC